ATAGTGATAAAAACTACCTGGTATCGGTACAGAGACAGGCAGGAAGATCAGTGGAATAGAATTGAAGACCCAGAAATGAACACACACTCCTATGGTCACTTGATCTTTGACAAAGGAGCTAAAACTGTCCAGTGGAAAAAGGACAGCATTTTCAACAAATGGTGCTGGTTCAACTGGAGGACAACATGTAGAAGAATGAAAATTGATCCATTCCTATCTCTTGTACAAAGCTCAAGTATAAGTGGATAAAGGACCTCCATATAAAACCAGGTACACTGAAACTAATAGAAGAGAAGGTGGGGAAGAGCCTCGAATACTTGTGCACAGGGGAAGAGTTCCTGAACAGAACACCAATGGCATATGCTCTAAGATCAAGAATTGACAAATGGGACTTCATAAAATTGCAAAGTTTCTGTAAGGCAAAGGACACTGTCAATAGGACAAAACGACAACCAACAAATTGGGAAAAAATCTTTACCAATCCTTCATCTGATAGAGGGCTAATATCCAATATATACAAAGAACTCAAGAAATTAGACTCCAGACAACCAAATTACCCTATTAAAAAATGGGGTATAGAGGTTAACAAAGAATTTTCAATGGAGGAAACTCGAATGGCTGAGAAACACCTAAAGAAATGTTCAGTATCCTTAGTCATCAGGGAAATGCAAATCAAAACAACCCTGAGAATCCATCTCACACCAGTCAGAATGGCTAAGATTAAAAACTCAGGTGATAGTAGATGCTGGCTAGGGTGTGGAGAAAGAGGAACACTCCTCCACATTATTGGTGGGACTGTAAGATGGTGCAACCACTTTGGAAATCAGTGTGGCAGTTCCTCAGAAAATTGGACATAGCATTACCTGAGGATTCAGCTATACCACTCCTAGGCATATACCCAGAAGATGCTCGAACATATAACAAGTGCATATGCTCAACTATGTTCATAGCAGCCTTATTTATAATAGGCAGGAGCTGGAAAGAACCCAGATGTCCTTCAACTGAGGAATGGATCAAAAAATGTGGTATATTTTCACAATGGAGTATTACTCAGCTATTAAAAACAATGAATTCGAGAGGTTCCTAGGTAAATGGGTGGAACTAGAAATTATCACCCTGAGTGAGGTAAGCCAATCACAAAAGAACACACATGGTATTCACTTACTGATTATTGGATATTAGCCCAGAACCTTGAAATGCCCAAGATGCAACTCACAGGCCACATGAAGCTCATAAAGAAGGAAGACCAAGTGGGGGTGATTCGGTCCTTCTTAGAAGGAGCAACAAAATACTCAAGGGAGCAAATATGGAGACAAAGTGAGGGACGGAACCTGAAGGAGGGGCCGTCTGAAGACCATTCCACCTGAGTATCCATCCCATGTGCAGTCACCAAAGGTAGATGCTGATGTGGAAGTCAGGAAGTGCATACTGATAAGAGCCTGATATGGATGTCTCCTCAGAGGTCTTCAAGAGTCTGACATATTCAGAGGCAGATGCTCACAACTAGCCATTGAACTGATCATGGGGTTCCCAATGGAGGAGTGAGAGTGAAGGCCATTGGAGCTGAAAGGGTTTGTGGCCCCATGAAGAGAGCAACAATACCAACGAACCACAGCTCTCAGGGTCTAAACCACCAGCCTGGGAGCACTTAGGGAGGGATCTAGGGCTTCAGCTGAATATGTAAGAGTGGAAGGCCCTGCTGAGCATAGGTTGAAGAAGAGATCCTTGACCTCATGAAGGCTGGACACCCCAGGGGGTAGGAATTTGAGGGTGGGGAGGTGGGAGTGGGGGGGTAGGTAGGGGTTACATCCACAGAGAAGAAGGAGGAGGGGTGAGGGGATAGGGGGTTCCTGGGTGGGTGGGGGAAGGGGAAGGGGACAACATATGAAATGTAAATAAAACATCCAAAAAAAAAAAAAGACACAGACTAGCAGAATTGGTGCTAAAGCCATTGACACAGAGTTATAAATGAATGATATCAATGTGCTATGTTCATTGATTCTCATTATTTTGTTGATATGGTGTATTTGTTTTTCACTCTCTTGACTTGTTGCTCAGAGATTATTGCTTATATTTTCTTAGTTGTGTTTACCTATTCAAGATGAGTTTTCCTTTGATCACCTTCTGTCAGTTTAGATTTGTAGATAGTTATGCTTAATCTTGGTGTTATAATAAAATATATTGTTTTTTCCAAATAAATAGATAGATAAATAAATAAATAAATCTACATGTACAAAAAAATGGGCAAATCTGCGGTACATTTTCCTAATTATTGATTTATGGGAGAGAGTCCCTCCCATTGTGGCTGGTGGTCCTGGGTTCTATAAGAGAACAGAATGAGCAAGCCAAGAGAAGCAAGCCAGTAAACAGCACCCCTCTACGGCCTCTGCATCAACTCCTGCCGTTAGCTTCCTGCCCTGCTTGAGTTCCGGCCCTCACTGCTTTTGATGATGAACTGTTAGATGGAACTGTGAATGAAATAAACTCTGTACGGCACAAAAAAATTATACTCAAATACAACAGAAATATTCTATTTATTGTGGCTATACAAGAACAAGCATACCAGTTTCTAAAAAGTGAATGCCCTGGAAATGTTCTTGTATGAATGCTTACAAGTCATTAATAAAAATTCCTAATGAACAATAATTATGGCCATATGGCTGAGAATCATAAAGCTGAAGAGAGTCTACGTGGCCACTTGATAAAGGGTGGTTACCCTTTCAGAAGTAAGTAGTTGGTTTCATGAAAACTGACTGGCACATATTAGGAAAGAATGCTGTGAACAAATGAGCGGCAGCTACGACAGTACTTTCTATTGCTACATTTACTGTTGGAGAAATGCTAATTTATTTTTATGCTAAATTGAAACAACTTTTTGAAAATAATGATAATAATGGAAACTATACAAGGTGATCCTATCCAATCTAAAAATTTCCAAATACAAACTGGTCCACAATATGAAACTTTTTGAACACTGACATAATGTTTGGAAGGATTTGCATCTTGCAGGATCTTAGGTTTTTTTGTTTGTTTGTCTTTTGTTTTTTCTTTTTCTTTTCTCTCATTTCATTTTTTTTCTTTCTTTCTTTTTTAATTTGGCATACACAACCAGTACTGTCTACCTACATAACACAACATTAAAAAAATAAACAACAAACAAAACAAAAATAAAACTAAACTAAAATCTGAAATACTTCTGACCCCAAGTATTTTAATTAGGGTTAATAAGCATGCTACAGAGAAAATGCTGATAATAATAGGAGTGATAGCATCAAATCCAAGGTTCACTCTGCTCAAAAGGACTTTATATATGTTATCACATATAAACAGTTAAAAACTAATACAGAAACTCCAATACCAACATGCTGAGGCACCCCCCTCTCCTTCTCTCCTTCACTTCCTGTCTCTCTTTGAGTTATGTTTTCATGTACTGAAGGCTGGACTTGAACACAACTGTGTAGTGGAGACTAATACTGAGTGTCTGATTCTCCTGGCTCCATCTCTCACATAAAGTGCCAGAATTATAGGTGTGAACTACCACTCTTGGCTTGCATGGTTCTGGGGATTGAATGAACTCAGAGTTTTGTACATGTTGAGCAAACACTCTTCCAACTGAACTATAACCCAACTCTATTACTTCGATTTTGTAGACAAGGAGAGATGGATGGGTAGAATAAGGCTTGTATCCAGGCAGTGCCTATGGCTATGACATTAAAGATCAGTATGGAGAAGAATAGTTGACTTCACTTTCCTTAACAATAGGAACAATCCTGGATGGCAAAGCAAATTCATTTCCCAAGCATCAAGTGAAATATTATAAGACTGTATAAATACAACCAACAGAAGTACTCATAGCTAGAAGCAAAGCAAAACACTCAAACACAAAAAACTCTAAAGAGCTCTATAAACTGCAGGCCAAAGACAAAAAAAAAATTTAAAAATCCTAGTTGCCCAGGAGGGATATCAGCCTTGCCACTAGAAACTCAGCCAGATTCTCAGGAGTAGTGCGGGCACAGACCTTCGACTAGAATTTACCAGCCATTTTTCTAGACCAGCATAATTTCCACTGCACTCTTGATCATGTTCTTATACTCACATACAGTTGTAGCTACCATTCTCTCACCAAAGAAGCTTTTCTGGGCAGTAAATGGAGACTATTTTAGAGAGCTATAACTAGACACACAGGAGAGATTAGCCAATTGTGAGGAGCCAGACCCAATGCATACATCTACAGCATGGTTCCATATCTATGACTCAGACATCTACAGGATGGTTCTTGTATCTATGACTCGAGGACCATAAGGAAGAGAAGGTAGAGACCTGTGGGGCTAGAATATGGAGATGTCTCCTGTAAAACCATCTCCCCTAGAAATGGCTGCATAAACAAGACCGTGGCATTATCCATAGATAAGGAACTACAGGCAGTCTTTGCTGAGAGAGGAAGAATTGGCTTTTCCGAGGGACGAGACCCTTCAATGGCTGTTCATTACAGAGCAGTTAGCCTTGAAACCACATACCTGGACAGCAAAAAAATGACTCTGCTTGTTGTAGTCATATATTTGTGCATATAGACACACATACTCATGCATGTGGGTGCATTTATCAACAATTATGGAAGAGGAGGAAGATATCAATTTGAGGTAGAGCATATAGGACGTAGCAAGAAGGTGACTTGGGAGATGCTAGAGGGAGGAGAATGAAGGAGGACAGTGATACAATAGAATGCATAAAAAATAAAAATGAAAAAGAAATGAACAAAATCCTGATGTAGAAGAGTATTAGAAGCCTTCAGTATTATTTGTACAGGTATGGTTCTCAGGAAAGTTCTCATAGCTTATGTACAAAATGGGAGATAGGAATAAGTAACTGATGTTTGAATGGAATGTACTTTATCACACAGTTCTAATGTTCTCAGTATATCCTGTAAAATTAGAACAACTAAAGTCCATTAAATAGAATGATGTCAAATTTAAATAAATAAGAACATCCTATCTTCATACCTCAGTTCATCCTTCGTTTTGTGAAGCATAAAAAGCCCTGTCTGTTCGCCGTTGCTCATAACTTCTCTGTTCTCCACGTTCTGGGTGGAATCCTGGAATGAAGGAAGTTACAGGTTGTGGGTCTGCACATATAGAATGGAAGCTTTGAACAAAACATTTCAACTGAGAGAGGAAACAGTGTTGCTCTGGACACAGACAGTTGGCTCCCATTTCTTCTGAGACTGGAAACAGCTGTTAATGTCCTCAGTGCTTTGCTGTGCCCTCCTCTCCTCTTTGGTTCCTGAAACACTCAAATGGACCACTTGCACAAGGCGATATGTTGACCTCAGGGGGATACATAGCTTAACTTGCTGCTGCTACTCAGTCTTAGGTTGGGGTATTGTGTTTTAAACCCATTTTGGGAAAAAAATACTAAAAGGAGTCTCCAGTGCTAAGCAATGTGAAAGGAGTGTCAGTGGCTTCTACATGCTGGTACTTTCACAGAACAGTGAAATGTAAGACAAAAATGAAGAAAATAAATTCCAATGAGACATATATCTAAAGCTTACAAGATAATATTCACATCTAAGAGACAACATGTAATGCTTGTCTTTCTTCCAAGATGATTGTTATTTAGCATCATTCGTTTAACCTGGAATTTTTATTTCTCTTAACACCCGATTGATATTCCTGGGTATAAATGTACCACATTTTCACTATCTATTTATCAGCTAATATATATCTAGGGTGGTTCTAATTTCTGGATATTATATAGAGAACAACAGTGAATATGGATGAAGAAATATCTTTAAAGTATTGTGTGGAGTCTTTTTGGTACACGTTTGAGAGTTGATTATATATAGCTAGAATTTTTGGTAGACTTATTTTTAGGTTTTTGAGGACTCCCCTACTGAATCTCAAAGCGGCTGTACCAGTTCACACTCCCAGTAATAATGAATAAATGTCCTCCCTTCTCCATATTTTCCCCATCATGAGCTGTCAATTTGTCTTATTAGTCTTGGCCACTGTGACTGGGTTAATATGAAAATCCAAGTGTTTTCAACCTTGCATTTTCCGGACAGCTAAGGTTGTTGAATGGCTTTTAAGTGTTTCGCAAACATTTGTGTTTCTTTTTTTAAAAATAATTTATTTATTCTTTTGAACTCCTAAACCTGATAAACAACTTTAGCAAAGTGGCTGGATATAAAATTAACTCAAGCAAATCAGTAGCCTTCCTCTATGTGAAAGATAAACTGGCTGAGAAAGAAATTATGGAAATGACACCCTTCACAATAGTCACAGACAATATAAAATACCTTGGTGTGAATGTAACCAAGCAAGTAAAAGACCTGTATGACAAAAACTTCAAGCCCCTGAAGAAAGAAACTGAAGCAGATCTCAGAGGATAACATTTGTGTTTCAATGAGAATTCTCTGCTAAGTTCTAGACACTCCTTTTAAATTGGGTTGTTTTTAGGCTTTTCAGGTTTTTCTACCTTTTTAATATGTTATAAATACTAATCCTATGTCAGATATATAATAGGTATATTTTTTCCATTCTGTGAGCTAAAATCTTTGCTCAAGTAATGGTGTCATTTGCAAGAAATAAATGCACACCCAAAGGCTTTATGTCTTAGACAGTTGTTTGAAAAGTAGCATCAAAAGACTTTTGCCTTGCTACAATTTTCATAAAGAGGAAGAAGCTATAGGTATATCATCTCAGCTAACAGGCAGTGTTTGTCACTTGCCAAAATCGCTTCTGTATACTGCAATAACAAAACCCTTTACTATTCTCTGGGGATGAGGCAGGAAGGCGGATGCTGGAGGCAGTCCACGAAGACATAAAGCCAACTCTAAATTGACTCTGGCATTGCAGTGCCTCAAAACTTAGGACAAAGACAGCTGTCTCTTATTGGGTTATACAAAATCAGTTTACCCTCAAACTTCAAAATTATTGGCACAAATGATTAAGGCACACTTTAGCTTTCCTTCAGTACATTACATGATGAGATGAAAAATCATGAACTCACACCTATCTAAAAATGAAAATGAGTATTTGCCCTCTATAGCTTACTTAAATAACTTGAGGAAAAATCTGTAAAATCTTGACTTTTAAATTTGGGAGGAGAGGGACTAGAATAAGTCTTGATTGTGGAGCACGTAAGGCTCAGCATAACGGTTGCTAAACAGCCTCTACAGTTCTTAACCAGAGCGCAGAAATATTAGTTGTGGGATTTAAAATCCTGAAACTTGCCTCTAGAAATAGAAGTATCATGCTTTGGGGGGGTGTATATTTACTTTTTAGAATAAAATCATTGCAACTTCTATTTTTACTGCTATATTAAATTTGAGGGTGAAGATGAACAGCAGGGAATGTAAAGTGGGGTGCTACTGTAAAGCCTGTCTGTTTCCCACATTATAACCCTTTCCTTCCCAGTGATTGTGCCTGGCTACTCTAAGAATATCCCTTACGGCTTCTATCGAATCATGGCGACATGTATGTGGCCCTCACAAAAAGACAAGCTGAGTTACTACATTTTAAAAAGAGTGAACATTTTTAGCAACCCTTTCAGGATCGTGGGAGCATTAATGACAGCCAGAATGTGTCAGATTTAAACAGCACTATGCTATTTTTAGCTTTAAAAATCAACACTTACACAAATATTCCCAAACCAATTAGCAGCAGCTGGAAAGTAAAGGTGTTTACATTTCGTTACCACTGGTGCTAACTACAGCAAGTGCTCACAGGCTGCCAGAGAGGGGCCGGGCACCTGGAGGGCAACCTTCTCTTCAGGGGTCATCACAGTGTCCGCACCAGGCTCTTGCTTGGTAGTTCACAGTTTGTACACGTTGCTGATTCCATGCAGCAGAGAGTACATTGTTCACTATGAAGTGTCGCTAAGATAGGCATCTCACTCTTGGTGAGGAAAAAAAAAGTCGGAATAAAGGCTACCTAAATTCTCACTGTGTTCACCTGGTTGGCTATAACTGCAAAACAGTTTTATAGTTTGTTTTCTCCTTTCTAAGGTGAAAGCTAGAGCAAGTTTCTTTACCCACACTCGCTTCTCTATGAGTTACAGATGGAGTAGGCTACGTAGTCTTGGTGTCCCTCTCTATATATTTAACCATTTGCCCATAAAACTTGAACTACAACTGAGTTATGTTTCAAAACCTCCAGTGCATTTTAAAAGAAGATTTGCATTCTGAAAAGCCAGCCACAAGTTTCTTCTGAAATCACACATGAATTTTAGAATGAGAGTAAGAGCAACATTTATCCAGTGAAAATTTGAACGGGAGGCTATGTGCCTGGTGCTCATACATAAACATAATGTAAATTTTCAGATTAAGATTCTGGGCATAATTTCAGAATATTTGTTTTTACTTTTTAGAACAAAAATATCTTGCTAAAGTAAAAACAAACTGCATTTACTATGCACACACTTGGAATTAACATGCATTTCAGTAGTCAGGCATTGTTCCACAAACTCTACCTAATACATGCTCTTCCTGTTGCAGGCAGTGCCTTGCTGTGGAAGTCTCTGATGATTCCATGAACCCATCCCTAAATGCTTCAGTCTCAGCCACTCAACAGGCAACGCTTTTCCTACCCACACACACACACGATTGTATTTTATAACCACGTATTTAGACACTAAGAAGACATTTTTAAATGCTAAATTACTAGTCAACTAAATTATATTTTTTCTCTTTTATTCTACTGTAACATGTAAACTCTAACATTGATCAGAACCATCCAAGGCTTTGAGGAAACACGCATTTCTGGGCCCTACCCTAAAGTTGGAGCAACAGGTATAGGCAGAGCCTGAGAGGTTTTGTTACAAATATCTGATGTTGCCAGGAAACATATAGGAGGAATCTTAGAGTAGTGTAGGTCTAATCTCTGCAGGCAAAATCATAAACAATGTTAATCAACCCATGAAAGGATGGTGCTAGCTTAGTCCAGTCACTTTTTACTTAAGGAAACGGAGACCCAAAATGGCAGAATGGCTCTCCCCTCTTATATACTATGATAATGGCAAAGTCCTGTTTCAGGATTCTCAAGTCTCCAACCAAAGCTCTTTGGGTATAATGGTGAATACTTAAGGAATGCTGACCCAGCTAGACCATGATTACCCACCAAGCTGTAGCTTGCACCGTAGATTCTATTACCTTTCAAAGCCACTAACAAAGATATGCAACCATGTCTTAGAAATACTGGCTGAGCAAACACATAAACAAACAAACAAACAAACACATATTTAAATAAACATATTTAAATAAATACACACTTAAATAAATGTGTATGGCTTTTCTTGACCTCAAGATATTTCACAAGTAACTAGATGTATATTCAGTACATCTTTGTGTGATTTCTTAGCTTGTTTTTGTTACATAGTTTCTCTGTGTCTCTCTGGATGTCCTGGAACTCTCTTTGTAGACCCAACTGGCCTCTAAGTCACAAAGGTCCACCTGCCTCTGCCTCCACAGTGCTGGAATTCAAGATGTGAGCCATCACACCTGGCTGATTTCTTGGCATTCTATTTTCCCAGATGAAGTCATGATGCAAAAATCATGATTAATTAAGACCACTGCCTGCTAAAATTTAGATTTGTGATCGAATGCAAACATATTAGCCATACCTATTATGATGATTACTCTGCTTCATTGTCAACTTGACTGGATTTAGAATCACCTAGGAGACACATCTCTCTGGTGATGTTTTTGAGGTGTTTCTGAAGGTGTGTCTCCCAGGAAACTCTTAATCTAATCTAGCTGACATTAAAGAGTAGTCATCCTATCAGGAAAGACCAGTGTACAGTGGTGGGATGTGGTGCTGCTCTCAGATAGTCTAGAGTCCCAGCTTAAATGCCATAGCTAATTTATCTAGGGAACAGACCGATGAGCTCAGCTCTCATTTTCCTCATCTGTAAAAGGGCTGGAACACTTTCCTGGTTCATTCCAAATATAAGATGTCTTTGTGGAGTACAAGCTGTGAGATGCAGTAAGTTAAGCCTCAACTGAGGGAACACACACACAAGAATAATTTAAATACATGTTTTCTGGATGCTCTTCTTGATCCCCAAACTCTCCTTTCCTTTGTCTATTCTTCTCTA